AGCTTAGGTGCAGGAGAAATACCTATTTAGATGTCCACTTAGTAGATATGAAGCAGAAGATTTTCATTTCTCTCCATCCCTTCTGCCAAGACGTTAGTCCGTGTGCTGGTAATTTCCCCTCTTGACTACTGTAACCTCTGCCTCTGTATTCCCTTTACCTCTCTGCCACTCCAGTCTGCCCAACACTCAGCTTCCAAGATTAATCTTCTCACCCTGCTGATCTGACCTTGTTTGCCCTGCATCCTCAATTCCAGTCCTTTTTTTTTTTTTTCCATTTACTTCCATTTGTTTTCCGACTTTGAGAACCCTCTGTAACCTGTCCCAAGCCTCCTCCTGACTTCATCTCCCCTTTACTGCCTTCTGTGCCACCAGTGCCTCGGACCAGCTCCCTTTGAATATTTACCGACATCCTTTACAGTTCCTCCTTTTGAAATCCATCTGTTGCGTGAAGCAAGTTTTAGTCTTTACCGACACCCGTACCCTTAGGCTGTAAGCCCTCCAGGCCAGGGTTCTGTACGTGCTCAGTGCAGCTTGCTTGCTGTACAGCACCTGTACACTTCTAGCGCTATAAAGCACTCAAGACACCCATACGTTTCCAATTAAAACAAGTCAGCAATAAATCCAGTTAAATATTCCCCACTCCCTTCCCTTCCCTTAAATCTGTGGCTCCATTGTGGGTTGGGGTTTTTTTGTTACTTCGTAGCTAAGCCCATTGTTTCAGTTTTTATGTTCCGTGGTGTGGAGGCTTGGGCTACAGCATGCACTTTGCTTCTCCTAAAAGCAGTGCTTCCCTTCCCCTGCCTTTCCCAAAACCATAGGTACCTGAATCATTTGGACAACGATGAATTTCAGAAAGCCATTCAGGAACTCCAGTTAACAAAGAGCATATGGACTATTGACCTGGCCTACCTAATGCGGCGCTTCGGTGTTAAGCATAAATTTTGCACCCAGACGCTTGGAGTGGACAAGGGCTACAAAAATCAGGTCAGTACTCTTATCTACCGAGAGACAGCAGACAGCTGGAAAAAGCCCTGCGTGTCATGCCGTGAAAGCTCTGCTGTGTTACTGACAAGCTTTCTGTAAACGAGGTTTGGCTGTGGCCAAAACTGGCACCGATCAGTTCTAAAGGCGAGGCTGGATACGATCCCACATTTTTTACATCTTTGATTCCATAATATGAATTTTTAAAGAGTTCTCGTGCAGTGCTTATGAAAGGTTCTAGCCTGTTGACAGCCTTGCAGACTGAAGCCCTCTATTTATCTACAGAACAGGTACAGCCTGGGCAGCAGCAGTGCTAGCTTCCACACTTTCCCCACCACCGTGCCTCAGCCCTGACCTGGAAAAGCCACCTCTAGAGGTGAGAGGGGAACTCAGTCTCCGCACCCCAGGGCTCGGCCTCCTCAAGATGCCAGCAAGAGGGCCAGCGAGGCCCTGCAGTGGCAATGGCTTTTCTCATGCAAGCTCCTGCCCAGTACGAACCAGCCAGGCTTCTTTCATGCAGGCAGCTGAATAGCCACCTGATGAAAATTACAGCAGTAACTAGTCAGGAGTGAATTTAAACTTACAAGGAATCCTTATCCTGTTACCAGTGAACAAAGGGAGAGATCTCTTATCCCATAGCCAGATCTCCATGCGGGCCCTTGCTGGCAGGGATTCTAAGTGGTGATTACCCAAGGTAAACATCATTGCAGTTCGTAACTTCTGTTATCTCCACAGTCATTTTACAGGAAGCACTTTGACACAGAGGAGAATCGAGTGAATCAGCTCTTTGCACAAGCCAAAGCCTGCAAGGTGCTGGTGGAGAAGTGGTAAGCCTATTGTTTTCTTTCCTGTTTCTCTGGAGGTTCTGCGGGCCCCATGCTTTTCTTGGAGTCACCAAGATAAACTGGTGAAAGACACTGAAATAAAGCCCTGAGTCTTTTTTTTTTTTTGTGAATTACAGGGTCTTTCTACTATATCTGTCTCAAAAAAAGTGGACATCAAGAGTTAATAATGAAGTTTGAGGAAAAATAGTCACAACACAGAATAAGTGATTCGAAAGCGCTGACAGGAGCTGACTATTGTTTACATTTTGATTATCCATTAAAATTACCCAGTAGGGAGTGCCTACAGCACTCTTAACTGGCCATTGTTGGAACTGAGGAGAGTGCTGCCCGGGCACGCAGCCCAGTTCCCAGAGCTATGCAAACATCATAGCTCTCTGTTCCTAGACAGTCACATAAAGATAAAGCTACCATATGAGCTTTTGCCCAGGGGAGGATGAAATAAGGAACCTGTATGAAAGAACTGCAAAGGAGAAGGGGAAAACTGCAGAATTGTTTCACAACCAATAGTGATATTCTACATGGGAAATAACCAAGCGTCCCCGTTAACCTTGAGTTGCATCTCTTTTTTTAGTGGAACTGATGTTGTCAAAGTGGGGTAAATAATTAGGAGTAAGAAAAGAAGAGAACGTACAGGGCAGCCACAACAGCATTGGAATGCTGCAATGCAGCTTTCATTTAGCGGAATTGTTAAGTGTCCTTCGTAACAAACACGGAGTCTGTGTGGCACCACCTGCTTAACTGGAGCTCTGAGAGGGCAGAAGGGACAGTCAGTCCCTCCTGCTTTAGCAGTCTGAAGCTCATGGCCTCAGTCAAGGCAGGGACAGAGGGCCTAGCTACCTGTGCAGTACTGAGGCTGGGGCAGCAAAGAGAAGTGACACTGGGAATGATGAAAAGCACACAAGTTCAGTTAGGTGGTGCACACAGCCTGGACATCTGGAATGTACCCACGTGATGAGTTTCGAATGCATATGGAATACACCATCTGCCTCAGTGAAGGACAGCTTTTAACAGATGAGATTACAGGTTATGTTTGGTTAATACTTGTTCTTTGTGGGAGGTACTATAGAAATAAAGCCTCAAGAGCATCAGGTAGTCCAAAATTGCAACTGGGAGAAACATACTTCAGTGTGACAGAGGCAAATTTGGGCACGTCTTAATTTGAGTAGTGATTACACAATCTTTAACCACTCAGTTGATAAAGATTTGGTGCTTCAGAGATAAGCTTTTCTACAAGCAGGAGAGAACACTTCATTATTTCTCACAACAGAAGTCTCTCAAGTTACTGAATGAGTTGCCAGCTCCTTTAATACTCTTCTCTGGGGCATCTGATACATTCTGAGATTACACTTACAGTACTGTAGAATCCAGAGCTGTTGCTCTGCACTTCAGCAGCAGCAATGACACAGGTTTTGTCAGGCTTTGTAATAAAGCTTACAGGGTTTAGCAGCAAAAAGCTGTACCGGTGATGTAAAAATAACCATGTCAGTTGCATAAGTACTGTCCATCATCACACACTTGTTCATGTATCAGTCTCTTTCCTAAACTTGTTAATTAGCATGTCTTTTTTCTTTTTTTCAGCACAGTAACTGTTCAAGACATCCAAAACCACCTGTCCCAAGGTCACGTAGCCATTGTTCTAGTGAATGCAGTCCTGCTATTGTGTGATCTTTGCTCAAGTCCTGTCAAATACTGCTGCTTCCTCCCCATTGGACAGAAGTGCTTCTGCAGGAATCCTGACTACCAGGGCCATTTCATTGTGTTATGTGGCTACAACAAAGCCTCAGGGAGTATTTACTACAACAACCCTGCCTACGCTGACCGTGAGTAGCCCCTTCCTTTTGGCTGGATTAACAGGTCTGTAATACAGAGTCGCAGCTGGACTTCCCCTAATATTATGTATGGATTTCGAATGTCGTTAACTGATTTGTCAGAAGAATTTTTGCCACATGAATTAAATCAGTGTTGCATTCTGTGCTATGATTTACTTGAGGCACTCAGATGTGCATTCTAGCAAACCTTTTTGGCTTTCAGATGGGTTAGTGAGAGATGCTGAACTGCTGTTCAGAATATAATGGGATGGCCAATTTAGTACCTGTTTACAGCATTACTTCAGTGAGCATGGCCTTAGAGGTGAAAAGATCTACCTGAGGAAAGCTGCAACCTAAGCTGATAGGTCTGGTCTGCATACTAGTTACTTTTCTTTGTAGAGGATGCTAGACCCGTGTAAGAGCCTTTCACAGGCAAATTCTTTTTGTTAACATTGTGTTCTTCCTTAACAGGAACATGCTGCACCAGCATCACTAACTTTGAGGAAGCCAGGACAAGTTACGGCACTGATGAAGATATTCTGTTCATCTACACAGACAGCTGACATCCTCACCTGACCCTTCTGGCCCTTTCCTGTGCAGCCTGCGCAGTAGCTGGCTGCTTGTCTCAGGACTCCCCCTGCAGAGACCTTGCTCCTGAACTGCAGTGGGATCTTAAACAAGGGAGGCTTTATAGACATTGATAGGACTATATTGCAGTGCTGTCTTATCTTTTTTTTTTTTCCTGATGATGTGTCTGATTTTGCAATGTATGTCTCAGTTTTTTGATTTTTTTTTCAACACTGCACATTTGACAGCAGTTTTAAAATAGAGGCCCAGAGCCTGTTCACTTTGAGCTTATTTTCAAATTAAACACATGAGAAAAAAGCACCCAATTTAGTATCACTTGGTAATATATGCATAGGTTAATGTAGACAAAACCAGGAAGAAAAATAGAAAATACCTGTTTCTCTCTCCATCAAGGGCTTATCCTCCTCCTAAATCTAGGGATTTGAGGTTCAGCACGGTATTATGGAAGGAAAAAATATTAACTTATACCACTTTTAAACAACAAAAAATGCCTTGGTGGCTCATCAGTATACTCTGTGTTGCAGGAAGGAAATAGGTTTACTCAAAGAAACTTCCTATGTACCAAATTCACCTGACATAGGTTTAGCATTTATGCCACTTCATTAAATTCTGAATGGTAGTTATTGGTGTTGTTCCACCCCAAATCAACTTGTTTTGGCTAAATCCTCTAGGATGACTGCTCAGAGCTCTGTATTACCCCCAAAGTTTAAGTGAAGGTATTTTATTAGTACTGAGAAGTATTTATTGAGCTTTCAAAAAAACTTTGAAGATTAAGCCACCCACATGTGCCAGTTTCTGCAGAATCCATTCTAAATACAAGTTTTAAGCAAGTACAGAAAATGATCATCAACACAAATGGTAGTATTTTGTGTGTAAACTGTAAATATCTGACAGCATATACTGGATTGTGACTAAAATGCTGAATCTGTAATTTGAGCCAAATTTTGCTATTGGTATTCAGCAACCTTCTAAGAAGAGCTGAAATCAGTTAAGAAAAGAGGAAATACAAATGTCTCTACTACAAGTAAAAATGTGGGAACTCCAATTTTTAGCTTCTGCTCTGGCTGTATTTGGATTAAGCTGGAGTTACTGTACTCAGACATCACATGAAACTGTTAGCAGCCCATTTATAATCCTTTCCTTTCTTATCTGGGCTTACTTACTTGGCTGAGGAGCACTGTAAAGTGCAAGAAATAGCCACCTGTTTCAGATGCATCCATCACAATTCCCAGCAGGTCCTGATTTCCAGTCCTGCCTATGTTGAATTGGGGACAAAAATCAATGGTAATACTGATGTAAAGCTAGCAAAATTTTATTTTGCACTTAAGACAGAGTTCCCACACCTCTGGCATAGTTTCAGGAAAGGAATTGTTGTAGTTCTGGAACAGAATGGTTTGGGTTGGAAGGGACCTTAAAGATCACCTAGTTAACAGAATATCAGTATAAGGACATTGTTCCTTAGTGTTGGAAATAACAAATAGATATCTACTTTCAGCATGCTAAAAAATTTTCTAAGATAAAACATCTATCAGTTGTTGACTTACTGATGAGTATCTGGAAAGTGCTCAATAAGTATGCTTAGTAGAATCAAGAGCGCTCCTTTGTACAAAGGCTAAAAATAGTAACGAGTCATTTAAAATGCAACAGCCTTTTAAAAGAAGTTCCAAACAAAAAGTATGCAATGAGAAATTTCCAGTGTATCAAAATTTTGCTTATCATAGGTGAAGCTGGAATACATTCTGGCACTTATACTTGCAAAATGAGTAAAAATTAGGGTGTGGCTCGTGAGCAGTAGAACCAGCACACTAGTGCCACCAGCAGAATCCCAGAAAAAAGGTACAAAACCTATTATAAATAACGCCTTCCGACTCGTCCGACATATGTCACCGGAAGGCTACTGAGCTAGGGATTTTTATGTCCAAGTCCAAATTCATGATACTTGATGTAGAGAGATGCTGTTAGCCATGTTACTAATTAACAGGCATGTAAGCTACAGGTTGATAGAGTACTTCCCTCACCCATGCATTTTCAGGTAGGTAGTTCATTCAGTGCCATTAAAACCGCCACAGGATTCAATGTAGAGCAGGCTTGGGTAGCTACATAAAACAGTTCTTAGGAAAGGCGTGCAGTTGACATTTAGCCTCTTACTGGTTTGGTTATCCAAATGTGAATCCTGAGCTTTTACGTAAAACATGAATTGAGGGGCATGCTAAGTGTCCTGAAGTCTTAACAATATCGACTGTTAAACATTTGGCACCCACGGTTTAAATACTTCACAGAAACTGAAAGATGAAGAAACAAAGTTGTTCAAGCCAATACAGACAACTAAGAGCTCCATCATTGCAAAAGGATCTCTTGCAGCCACCAAATGGGAGATAGCTACGAGAGATGAAAACACAAGGAAGAAGCAAAAGCCAAGTGAAAAGACTGAGTATTTATAGGACTCAGATTAAAAAGCAGCTCGCTGCATGAACATTCAAACATCTGCATTTTCTGAAACTTTCTTTCCAATTACAAGATTGTCTATCAAAATACTCATCCTGAAAACTGTTTTGTCACTTTGTTTCCTTCATGATGTCAATAGCGAAGGAAAGGGTATTTTACATGCAGGGATTTTATACATAAATATATTTTTATTTGTAATTAAGCCATTCTCAATAAAGGTTTAAAGTCACAGATAAGCCTGGAACATCATGTAGCAAGTGCATTTCTTAACTAGCTTATTATGAACAACGTTGGAAAATCGTTCGAGGAAGTGTTATATACTTAACTGGAAATGGCACAGCTGAAATTGCAATTTGGAAAAAAAACAACCCTAAGAGTTCAAATATTTATTTTGGATATAAATTCATCATTGCTAGGCTGTAAATTGTATTCACGCTGCACTTCCTGAACACCTCCTCATCACCTGAATCATACAAAACTTCAGTATAGACTAGTGGCTGAGAACTGCACATGTACTGTTCCCTATATTCAACGTCTGGTCTGTGTACTCTGCAACCACCAAGCATGCCACGGGAGTGCTGCTCCAGGGACGCAGTTTCTGTTACCCATCCTGATCCCAAGCAGCACCTCTGCAGCTTTCTGTTCACAGTGAAAAGCATGCAGCTGCACCAGCCTTGCCTATGCTTTAGCTAGTGTTTCTATTTTTGCCTCACAACACAGCACTGAGCTCCTGAAGATACTAAAAGCATCTCTCTGGAGCACTACTTATGCACCTTGAAGGGGCCCATCGAAGAAGACACTGGTCCAGCTGTGGTTGTAACACTAGAGAACCAGAGTGGTCTTGCATTACAGTGCTCACAGATCTTCAACTAGGGCACATCTGGGACACCACTTAGCTCTAACAAACCTCCATCAAATAGTTTGTGATTTTAAGAAAATAGAAAACAATTTATGCCTCATTTCTCTCTAAATTATGTATTTGGGGTAGAAGGTAAAAACTGGAAAACAGAAGTAAACAGACATAAAATGCAAAGCTTATGTAAAGATTTTTATGTCCTCTGAACTCATCATCGCCAAACTATATCACAGTACTGAATACATGTCTTCATCTTACTATTCCTACTGGATATATTTCTAGTCAGGGACAAAAGTTTGGACTCAGGGTAAATGACGAAAAAAAATACCCAAGAAACCTTTTTTCAATTATTTTACTTAACACAGTTTTGAACTATATTATTTAAACGTTGGTTACAGGAAATCAAAACGACAACTTTAAAATAACAACCTGTGAGCCACAGTAAAGCTATAGTTCAACAGTACCTTTTAATTTGTTCTGTAACATTTGACTGTAGTGAGATGCTCTCTCTTACTCTTTGATTATATTGGGTATAAAGTACGGCTGGACTGCTTCAGTGAGCTTGTCTGCATACATCTCATACCTACCAGTCATCTGGAAAAAAAAAAAAAATCAAAGCTTCAGTTTGTTTAGTAAGCTATGGGAGTGCTTCGGTAGAAATACTTCCATCCACCTTTTTTTAATGACATACTGTGTAATTGCCCCAAACCGTAAAACCGTAATTCACTCAAAATGCATGACCTCCAGTGCTGTGGCTTTCATACTTTCATAAAGAATTTGCATTTTCTTGCCTATAAGTATGCTTCTACCCAAAAAAAGAGTAGAAGTGCATTTTCACCCTAAGAACAAAATGAACCCTTTCCTGACTGCAGCTCTCCTGCAGACAGTCCTATCTGCTGACGAAGCACTCCAGGTGGTATGGTTATCCTGGACAGCTGAAAGCTGATGGTGAAAGACGGACCTGCTTTGGTGTGCATCAACAATACTCTCTTCTAAGTAATGTCACTGAAGGCAAAGGATTGTATCTGTAATTACGTCTCCACATTATATCCCTGCCAACTGAGACACCCTGCTGCCATATGTGCCACCGATGGTATCTGGGTTGCTCTTACTTTACCCGTCAGTAATACGCCGTACTATCGTCGCTTTGGGTGATGCAGTAAGCTAGGAGGTTGAGATACAGCACTTCACGTCACGCACTACCCTCTTCTGAAGCGCGAGGTCTACCTTTGCTCTGAGAGAGGCGAACTACTTCCTTCTTGCCGGAGTGTAAAGAGGACAATTTAACTATTTTGCTGCTGTAAGTTTAGCAAAGAAATTCTACTTAACATCCCTTTAAGGACCATTGAACGCAATCTGCAAATACCAGAGCAGGTTAAAATAGGCTCCTCCTTGCTATCAAGGGTTTGCTGCAGTGAATAAACCATGACTTCCTACTTCCTCATTCTCCTCATATCAAGAACTACCTCTGTCTTGGCCACAAATGAGAGGAAAAGGAAACAGATATCCCCTGTCATACAAACAACAGCCACAGCTGTGCCGTATGGGCCAAAAGACCAACGATAGCAATTCACACCATCAATATGAAACTAAGGTGCTGAAAGCACAAGACTTGACAACAAAAAATAAGCTATTCTATACAAAACAGCTAAAGGTCAGTGTTTTGCTTTTACTGTTTGTTTTTCCTAATCAGTACAACTGCTTTTGTTCAGATACCCCTACGAAGCTGCTCCAAGCAATGCTCCACGAGCTTCCCGACACAGTAAATCTCCGCTTTGCACTAAGGGCCTCAAATTTCAGTGGGAAAGCAAAACTAAATGCCTGCCTGACTTAAAAAAAACTGGCAATCTCTCAGCACAATTTAATTCCACTATGTCAACAGCCATGCACCTACCGCACGCATCTGTAAAATAGCAAATGCAATTCCGTCCAGAAAACAACCTGAAATGACTTTTTATCTTTAGTGCCTACGTATGGATTGACAGCATTAGCAACGAAATTCAGCTCTAGCTAAGATTACTGTGTTTTAATGGAAGTTTATCCAGCATTTCAAATCCAGAGAAAATTTGTATTTTTACATCATACTGGAATCAAAACACACTATATATTGCACTATATTATAATGCACAAAGTGGTTCTAAATAAACCATCTCTATAAAATAAATGTCTGCTTGCAGTAACATTATGTGCAAAAATTGACACTCCCTGCCAATGATTACTTACATTAAATACTACATTATCACTGAAGAACCTACATATATTGTGATGGTTGCTAGCCAGGCCTGGCTTACTTTGTTAGGATTCAAATCATTCTGATCTTAAGAGTGGATAGGAAAAAATTCTAGTCTCCAGCAGTACTGAGGACTAGAATGAAAGACTTGTCTCTACAGAAATAAGATGTTTTCTTCATCAACAAAACCTCTTTTCTCCTTTTGCTTGCCTTCTTTCTTGTCCCAAGGAATATCTGTGGGACCTGCCATAAACTTGAGCAGATTAAAAGAACAAACTACAGAGTGGTTTGTTTTTTTCGTTTAAAAATTAAAAAAACACTGGTCACTCCACTAAGCAGTGCACAATATAGCAACCCCACATGGCTTGTACTGGCGTAACTGAAGGGTTAGCGAACTGCGGTGCCGGGGTAGCAATTTCTTAAACCAGCACTGCTGCTGGGCAAATTAAATCAAATTACACCTTCAGGACAGATGATGCAAATTAGCTTCATTTCAGAAAGCAAAAAAAAGGCAAATAAATGAGTTTGCTAAAGACACGTGGCGAGGCTTTAAATTGTCTTAATCTGATTTAGATTAATTCAGAAGTGTTTTAGGATACTTGAGAAATCAATGGACACAGTTATTTCTCTGTGGCTTCAATACGTCCTCAAATTCAGGGAGCTGACACTGCAGAGGTTTGCACACAGAAAGTTCTCAGAAGCTTAAGGATTCTTGGGTTTGGGTTTTCACTCAATTTCACCAAAACTGACAATAAGGCCTGTAAGAATATAGCAAACTGCCATATTAGGTCAGATCAAAGGGCCATCTCAGCCCAGCGGCACACGCCTAGGCACCTTGCGTAAGGAAACCACACATTTCCCTTCGCGGTCCTCAGAGCTCCTGGCAATCTGCACTTACAGACCAAAAAGGCTAAATTTTTCATTTAAAAGCTATCGGCCTAGTTTCCCTGAATTTGGCTATTCAATTTCTGAATCCATTTATGCCTTTGGCCTCCTGTTAAACATCAATTGTTGAACTAATTTAACAGGATGGTAAGCTTTGGGCTATCAAAGAAAAAAATGCTGCCTTTTAACGATTTTAAGATTATACGATCATTATGAAAGCTTGTTTGTCCTAATAACATATGTAAGTTTGTTTCTTTTTAAGCAGGCTTACCTTAAAATTCCATTTGTCACTCACTTGCCTGCAGAGATTTAGATCCATCTCTACCACCAGAAGTCCATCCTGCGTGCGAGAGAGTCCTGGGGTCCTACGACCATCTGGTGCAGCTACGTAACTTGAGCCATAAAAATGGCCCAAGTCATGGTGTGCTTAAAAGAAATTTTTAAAAAAGCATGTAATGCCATCCCAGTAGTTACTTTCATGATGGTACAGCTTTCTGTATCGAATCAACAGGAAAAAAACTCACTGCAATGCCTTTTTAAATAATGCATTATTATGCTTTCCCATTATTAAGCCTCTGAACTAACGTAAAGTCTTAGCTTTCATTTTTTATTTTGAATTTAAATGAATTCTAATTGTCAAATCATACATTTCCAAAACAGCTGACAGACATACACCCATTCAATTTTCAATATAAAGTCAGAAGTGAAAACACTGGGATTTGAGACGTGGAAGAAATCCCACTTCTTACTGCACAACTCTGAGCTATGCCAAAAATCAGCCACATTTGTTGTACTACTGAGCAATGGATACTACTGACCTTTTTGATGCAGCTGCTACAAACACTTATCTACAATGCTAGTTAGAAAAAAGGCTCAGGCCCACCCCAGATTAAACGAGAAGATGTCATGGCTGGGACAGGAAAAATTAGTGTTTCAACATACCAGCAAATCTCATGCTCTTCTTTGAGCATTCCCTTCTTTACCTTCCAGCAAGTCTGGGAAATAAGGCAAAATGGCTTGGCCAGGGATGCAGGCTAGAGCCGTTAGTGTTAGTCTTAGAACTACAAATAAGATGTCATGCATGTACTGACCACACAGGCTAATTTGTGGGCTTTCTGTCTTCCAGATCTACAATACCGCATTGACGCCAAACCTTTTAGCCCTCTGAAAGTATATAGACGCCTTAGTTATGAGCCTCTGGTGACCAGATACTATGGTACCACCATCTTCAGTAGGAAGTGCTGCATCTCTCTAGCTTACAAAACCGCAGTGTTAAGTAAGGCACTTGCTAGCTACCACGGCTGTCATGGGACAGACACTTGCTCTTACTTCTTCAGACTTTCTAGTTAACAATTATGAGCAACCACTGAATGTGATTTCTGAACGTACCTTTTCCACCATCTCCAGAAGTAAAGGCATTTTTGTAGTACTCCTGTGAAATAAGAGGAATCTATAGGTGGCAGTATAATTCCATTTCATGCAAGGAATCCCTGCTAGTCTACCATATTAAGTATGGAAGTTTATATAAATCCATTAAGATTTTTTCTGGCATACTACCAGCACTGTCTAAGGGGAGTCATCAGAGGGGCCGAGTTTCTATGACAAACAGGCTAGAAAACAAGATCTTTTTGTATCACTGCTTGTTGTCCATAGACATTGGGGAACATGTTTCGTATCAGTTTCACAAGTCTAAAGAAGAGGCAGAAGAGGAGACATTTAATCAAACACATCTTTGTGGATCACTAAAGACAGCAAATGTATTCACGTAATGGCAAGAACAAGTCTAGATCTTTGCAGGGAATCTTATAAAAGACACACATGTAGGGTATTTGGACTAATCTGAAAGTAAAAATGACCTACTGTTGGCAATATTACATTTTCATTGTAGAATTTCAGTGTCCAGAAAGAGGTAGTATCTGTACAACAGCAACCAGCTGTGTACCACTGACTTGAGGTTATATTTAATTTTCAGTCATTTTGGCTAAAAGAATACTGATTTCACCATAGAAACTAGGAGAATTAGCAAAAGGGTGGATGCCTATTACAAAGAAAGGAATTCAAGAACAGGAAGCAGCTGCAACCAAGAAGTTGGCTGCCAGCAACAAGGCAGTTTTCAATCTCTTTACCACTATCCATCTCCAAATCATATCAGAAACACTAAGGCAGTAGGTACACAGTAGAGGAACCTATGCATTACAGTACTATTCAGTTCATTGCCTTGAACTAACTCATGCTACAATTCCTCAAGTATGAAATGACAGAGCGAAGATACTTACCGTTCCTACCCTGTTGATGGGACACGTAAAGCAGTGATTAGCTATGGCAGCATTTCTTGCTTCAATTGGCCACAGTGACTCGCTGCAATACACGAAAGAGCAGGCAGGTATTATTACTTGTCTACTTCAGAGCTAAATTTAGATTATGACTGTCTCACTCTGTACATTTTCTGTCAAAGACGCCAAAGCTGGATGCTTAGCCCTATCTTGTTCTTACAATCAAAATCTCACCACAGATACAGCCAAGCCCTGCAATTACTTTCTGCTCAAGTACAGGCATAAACAATTCTATCTGGTAACCTGGTAAATATGGCTTTGCCATGATAAAGAAAAAAATTTAACATGTGTCAAGATTTTCAAAGCAATTGTTTTACTCTCCAAATTATGCAAAGGATGTAGACATGTGCTTTCACATCACATTAACTTTCAATATACCAAACATCATTCTGCAGCAAAGCTGTTAAGAGATTCATACGTTGCCTCCCTTTTTGCTCAAAATGATCCACAAGAGGCTTTTGCAGCAGGGAAGAAAAAGAAAAAAAAAATATATATATGGGAATAACGAAAGGAAAATTAAAATCCATTTCCACAAAAATTCCCTACTTCTGTTTTTTCAACCTCAGTTTTCATAGCACTTTCCAGGAAGTCATTTTCCCATGGTGGGCTGATGAAAAAAAAAAGCCTGTTTAACAAAAGCATCCTGAGAACTTTCCAGTAATCACTTATTAAGTCAGTCACTACATTTACATAAAACGAAGAACCGAGAAATGAGGAATAAAAAATTTCTTCTCTTTTATAAGCCTCTACCTCTTCTCCAAAGGAGATTCCAATTCTGGCAGATGTTTAAAACGGAAATAGTCTTCTTTTTATTAAACAGTGTGATACATGGGGATCAGACTAGTTAACAGGAGGTCTGGAAGTACTCAGAGCTCCAAAACAAAGGTGATACAATTTGTACGCTCCTGTGACAGCATGTACCTGCCAGATTCTGAGTACCAAGACAAGGCTGCGAGCATCTGACTCATTAATCTCCCTGTCAGACTCAAGAACCTTAAGAGATGGTCGCTGGACTGATTGAAAGGACTTGGTTTATTGCCTCTTTTCTGAATTGCTCTGAGTCTGGCAGCCAGCTCTTCTAAGAAAAAGGGATGTTATTGAAAAGCTCCAGCAAATTACAATTTCACAGAAGGAGAGAGGCAGGGAAAAAAAAGCTGTAGCCAAGAGGCGACCCCAGAGACAGTTTTTACATGAGCCTCAAGAGTCCTCTTCCTGCAATAAAAATTATATGCTTAAAAACAATCAAGTCAAAGCCAATAATTAGGAGAGCCTGAAGCACCCAGAGTACCAATGAAGTGCTGTATGACAACAGGGTAATTTCTGTTTGCTCTCCTGTTAATGGGCTATAAGTGGACAAACATCACAAATATTATTCTACTAGTGACATAAACGCCACAAAAGCATTGTGCATTCATACAACTCCTTTCACATTACATTTTCCAACATTACTCAACCTAAAATATCTTTTATACACAAAACTATTAAAGGCAGTATGAATGACAGAATACTGCATCTAACCCACAGTCCCATTCTCCAGGTTTGTAAACACATGGTTCTCTGCATCTGAACTGGGTGTGGGTATGAAAATGTTACGCCTCTGATCTGTTTTTCACCATTTCTACCCTATTATGTATGCTCATTCTCCTCAGAATTTTCTAGCTGGTCAGAAACCTCAGGTTCCTAGACCTCAGCAAGGTGCCCCTAAGTGGGAGGGGGGGTGTGTGTGTCAGAGACTCAGTTACTCCCAAAAGTGTGCAATGGCCTAAATCAGTCTGTATCTTACCTGAGCGTTCCGATAGTGGCTGAAGGGTTAAAGATGATCTCTGCTCCATTCATACTAAACATGAGCCAGTTCAGAGGGTGATGACGCCCATAGCAGATATTCACAGCGATTGTTCCAAACTGTGTCTGAAACACTGTGTGTCCTGTATTTCCTTCCATATAGTAAGTAGACTACGAACAAAACCAAAAAACCACAAATGCAGACTTCTTCAAAAAGCAGTAAGAAATACCTCCAGCATTGCCTCGACTCTTCCCAATTTCTGACTACCTTGTTTCCATGAGCAAGGACAACACCTTTCATTTAGGACATAGCTGCACTGTAACAGGTATATAACAAAAAGCAGCTCTCTTAGGCTGCCGAGATCAAATTCAAGCCCCTTTCTGTTTCCCTTCACTCATACTACACCTAAGCACCATCTGACTTTGACATAAACACTTCTGTTAATGCTAGAAACTTCTACAGAAGCTTAAGAGAGATCCACAAATTGCAAAACTGTAGGCACCTCTCTTCACCACATAAGCAAATTTTCCGAAGTCATCACAATCCTTTGATTCTGAGATGATGAACATTGTTTAAAGAAGGTGGAATTCCTTTACATTCACCTGTTCTAGTATTCATAAAATGACTGCATGTCACGACATAAGGAAGTATCAGTGTATAGCTAAGACTGGTTATTTAGATCTCCTACATGCCTACTGCTCTAAACAAACAGAAGGCTTGAAACTACCACCAGGAAAATCACCGGATAAATCTAGAGAACACTCCTTAAAGGAAGTGGACCTAGCTGTTGGCTTAAAAGATCCCACTTACCATATGCTGCGAAGTTTCATCTTAGCATATCAAACACTTCTAAACAATTAGAAATGCACTGGTTCCTGTAAAAGGCACTAGTGAGGGGAAGGCTAGGGTATTGCTAACAGCTATCGAGAGAGACAAACACTCAGAGATATTCTAAACGCAATGGACAGAAATGGTTCTTCCCAGGTACAAGAAAAGGGTATGCATGGAGTCACTGAGAGCTGTCTGCCTAGTGTTCAGTGGTAGTCAAACCCCACAAAAATCTCAGACACTGACAGGAACGGTAGTGAAATTCTAGTGTCTGCATCTCAATAAGGATGTACTAGAGATGGAATGAGCAAAGGCAACTGAAACGATGACAGGGGTGGGGCAGCTCCTTTGTGAGGAGCAACTAAGACGACTCTTCAACCTGCAGACAGAAGGCTGAGGACGATATTATGCACGAGATGCACACAATCACAAAGGCGGTGAGTAAGATGAATACAGAAATCCCAAAGCAGCAGCAGGACTGGGTATTGACTGAAATGACAATCTTGTACCTGTTTTCAACCAAAGTAACTTTTTTCATGCAACAGGCAGTGCATTTCTGAAAATCTGCTTCTTTGTGAAAGCTGGTATTATCAACAGGTTCAGAAGGGATTAGACAAAGTAATTGATAAAGAACCACAGATAAGAAACAAAATAGACAGGAACATGCCACCCAACATCCCTAATATAATGAGTGTAGATACTGAGGGAGTACAAAAGTTGCAGGGTGACCAGACTTCTTCCTAATTGCACCTCTTTGTCCTTTTCTGTCTCCAAGATCATCAAGGTACATAACCCAGCAGCATGACCCAATGGGGTGTGCCTCTTATCACATAAGAAAGGCGTGTTGTAAAACAAGTTGCTTTTTAATGAAACCACCACTGCCACTGGTCTTGAAGGAAGCAGAACCACATCAGGAATCAAGCAAGCAGAGTTACAACTGGGGAACAAACTAGGGCCTCATCTGAGTGCAGGAGAACGGCATGATAGATACAGGGGGATCATCTTCTGAAACCAAGAACTAGAGGTTCAGCATGCCCAGCAAATGTGACATCCCACATTTCTTATTTATTATCAGGTCTCATGAATTCGCACAGTCCCTTGGGCACTGATTTTATCTCCTTTCACATCTGTAGGGAGCACACCACATGGTGGGCACTCACACGATCCTCTTTCAAAACAATTCTGCTGGTTGAATATATTTACATTTTTTCTTCTATTCTCAGTCTTCTTTTATTATAACATGAGGAGGAAAAAAAAAAAAACAACAAAAATGTTGTTGCTTCAGGGAATTCATCAGTTCCTATTTCTTTATTCCTCACCGGAGGTCGCAATCATCTCCACAGCAACAAACTGTGATGTCTCAAGAAGGATTGATTTTTGTTTATTTATATGCCCTCCCACACATGGCTGAATAGGTTACAGAACCATCTCTGTCCCCTTTCCATTTAGCTCTCACCAATTCAACAAGGGTGCTTTTAACAAGGCTCCAACTCTACAGAGACTATCGCCAAAAAATAATTTCGAATTCAATCCTTCCTTGAGGGTTAACTTTGTTGCTAAAGAAAACCTTAAAGTAACTGATGAGCATAATCCTTCCCTGTAGTCTTGGTGGTTTTTTAAGTTCCTCTATCAGAATTGCTCAGTTCAGAAGAATGGACTTTATGCTCTGCTAACAAACACAGCTAAAAAGACAGTGCTGTTTTGGGTAAACATTACTTGCTTCTACAATGAGGTAGATATAGTAAGAAACGTCAAATCATTATAGTATACCCACAAGACATAAATAGATTGTTTTGTGGTAATTATGGCATTTAAGATTATAAGAACTAACTCCTGTTCAGAATCATGCAAAGATCTTAATGAACCTATTTATACATCACAAGGAGAAGTAAAAATATGTTTTTTTAGATGCCTTTCATTACAGTTTCATTGCTGGAAACAAGTAGTTTCATGGAATCTGCTGATACTCCACAAAACACTGTCTGGAAAACTGAGATACCCTATTTTAGCACAAGCCGCA